CGAGTTTGCAAAATTTAAGTTCTTAAACGAAATTGCAAAAAACCTTAACGTCACCAACATTTTGTATCTCTTGATTTTTGAACATGAAAATAATGATTCGAAACTTAATATCCGAAAATTTAAAAAAATACGCGCTATTGTGGTAGCACGTTAAAAATGGATTTTACTTGTGCAATGCTAACTTTCTTAATTGTGGCCCGACGAAATTTTAACATAAAGTGCCACTCTTACGGTACACACTGTTTTCTGAAATTTTAGTTGAATATGTCTTTCCTAGCTCATACGTGGTAAAAAATATAAACCTTTTGTGCAAATGTCAACTGGTTGCGCATCTACAGAAATTATTTTTGAATGTACAGAGTGTCCCATTTTTACGGTGTCAATACACACAATCTAGTCCATAACTTTTGATTGAGACGTCCGATCGAAAAAGTACGAATTGTTTTGGATTCTACGCACCAAAATTAATACGAAAAAGTGTTTTCCCGAGAAATTTTGGTGCAGTCAGTTTTTGTTAAAAAATGATGGTTATACACTGCCTTTTTTTGAGGCCCGCAAAAAAATTGTCTCAGATCGACCCGTTTTTTATAGAATGTGGCCTGTAGAATCCATAATTTCAAACAGTTCCAAGATTGGGCTTCTAGTTCAAAAGTTACACCCCTTTGAATTTTCTTTCGAAATTGGTTTCTAGTCAGGGGCGGGCCAGGTGGAATTGCATAGGTTACGGGCCATTAAAGTATTAGTGTAGTAATGAAGGTGGCGGGGGGGTAGCTCTGCGGTGCACCACAAAAACATTTTTTGCTTCATTTTAAGGTACTCCTTTTTCGGAAATCAATTACAATACAGTTTTTTTTTTAAATTGCAGCTGATAATTAAAAGTAACAAAATATACAATCCAAACGAGGCGCGTCGCCTATCATTGTATTTCAGCACTTTCATGCTACGCCAAAAAATGATAAATTCATTGTAAAACACTTCAATTAAAACAGAATTTTTTAATTTTTTAACAACCTAACATCAACCCCAATTAGAGAAGCGTGTTAATAATTTGTTAATAGTACAAGAAACTAAATACAGCACATACTTATAAATTTCCAACGGGCCATTATGACGTACAGGCCAGGTGGCAATCGCCCCCCCCCCCGGGCCAGTCCGCCCCTGTATACACCTATTTTTAGTTGACCCGATGTCATTTTTTAACCTCTGCATGGTAACTTACCACTATTTCGTTTTTATATTCGATAGTCTGTTTTGTGCTCTTTAATTTTTATAAGGGGTGTCCTGTCCTGTCCTGTCCTGTACTCCTTATTTCGTAGTAAAATAAGATTATTTAAAAAGACTTGATCATATTTTTCGAAATTCACCTTTCAAATTACACCATCTTATTTTACTACGAAATAGGGAGGACACTTGCAGCAGATAATTTATTTGTGACACTTGCTTACTTTTTGGAATTCTTTTGTTTTTTATTATCACGGTCTAAACCGGTTTATAAACATGTAATAAATTAATGTGTAACTATTTTTGTGAAAAATAATGAATAACCTAAAAACTACGGGGTTTAGGCACACCTTTATAAACATTAAAGAGCACACAAAAGACTATCAAATGTAGAAATAAAATAGTGATAGTACCATTTGAGAAAAATAGTTAATGAAATTTGGAAATTTTACTATTTATTTGTGAACACTCTGTATCACTAAACTTTCTCATTACCAAATTGTTCCCTTTTATGCAGATTAACATTATTGATCAAATCTATTTCTTAACTTTAAAAAATCAACGTCGGCGTCGCTACGATTTATCAAAATGGAGCTTGCTTATGGGGAATTATTCAGAAAAAAATAATAATTTGGTAACATTGACAAAAAACCAAAAAGTGAATAAGTTTCCATGCAGAGGTTTAAAAATGACATCAAAACAATTAAAACTATACAGAGTATTCCATTTTAAAAAATCAATTGTCTATTGACACCGTAAAAATGGGACACCCCGTACATTCAAAAATGATTTCTGTGGATGTGCGACGATCTATAATTGACATTTGCGCGAATGTTTTTTTTAAATATTTTTTACCAGGTATGAGCTATAGGAAAGGCCGACGCACTGTTGTAAGACCCTTAGAAAGAATCATCTTGGTTTCAAACTCAAAAATTTCTTTGCATTCTCATCTCAATTTCCAAAATCTGAAAAATTTAGTACTTGACAAAAATTTGGGGAATATTGCACAATCTATTGATCCCGGTTGACGATCAGGAATTTGTCCGTTAGCTATTGAGGAGAAGATTTTAAAGGAATCAAAAAAGGATAAAAATTGGTGGCCACCAATTTATTTTGACATTTCAAACTATCTGAGCTAGCAATTTTCGTTGAATATTTATTAAAAACATTAGTTTTCTTGTTCATAATCTAACACATTCATTCCACGAACTTTTGGTTAAAAGCCTTTAGCGCGACTTGTTTGGAGCCTTGTAGCTTTTAAGAACCTGAGAGAGCTTTTAATAAGTATCTAATATTTAATTTTCTTTAAAATCTTCTCCTCATCATTGTATATATGTAGGTGTACATATAATGCTAATATCTGAATTTTCAAGATCCATTAAGAACCCTTTACGAGCTTTAAAGGTCTTTAAGTGCATTTGATGGTCCTTAAAAGTCCTTTCAAAATCTTTAAGAAACGGTGCGAGTTTCCATAAGAGACCACAGGGTTTCCAGAAATTCCAAGTATATTATAGATACTTTTAGGCTTGCTTTTAGGTTTTTAATAATTTTTACAGTAAGTATTTATTATTCCAATTTTGAAGAGAATTTGAGAGCTCTTTACGAGCTCTATAAGTGCATTTGAAGGTCTTTAAAAATCGCTAACAATTTCTAACGGCGTTGTAGGCTTTTAATTATTTTTAAGTGCATTTAATACACGAAAACTATCCAGGCTTTAAACGTATACCGCTTCATAGGATTCGAAACGCTTAGGTTTCGTTCAAGAAATAAATGATGCCAGAAACAAACGTAACTAGATTGATTCTGTTTGTGGTGTTAAGTTTCACAACAAAGGGGCACAGGATCTCAAAATGCACAGGTTTCTATCTTTAAAAACAACTGTACACTGTACTTACTTTTGAAAGTGTCTCACACCACGGATTATATTTTTCAAACATTTCGAAAAAGCTCAAAGAATTATTAAGCCATTCGGTTTAGACCTATATCAAATTTACTCAATATATTGAGTAGAGTTAAGTCCATTTAAAATCACGAAGTGTCAACTTTCGGTTATTTAAAGTTAAAAATGGTTCAGCTGAAGTGGGTTCGCAACCCAGTGCACTATGTACTCTAGTCATTTTCTGGAAAATTTTACTCCTAACGTTATGCCATGTGTTTTTTATATTCAAAGTATTTTAGGTATACAGGGCGTTCCATAAGAGTGGTGTGTATCTCGACATGGTTTTTTAAAATGCAAATATGGTATACATTTTGTATTGTTTAATATCTCTTATAGACTAACACTTTTTAAGATGGAAGACCCTATATTTTTTTGCAAATACTGGAATTTATCAACTTAAAAGCATTTTCAGAATTAAACTTTGGGTATGATATACAGTACGTGCCAGTTAAAACCAGCTACCCTGATCCAGCGGATTTTAAATGCCAGAAAGGGCCCATCATCAAGCGTATTTTGATAAGTTCTGAGGTGCCTTGGGGTTCGTAATGGGGGTTGTTGATGGCGGAACAGATTTTAAGGGAGAGGAAATCCTTACATTTGGCACATCCTGAATTGATATTAATCAATTAATGCCACATTCGAAATATTTTACTTTAACTGAGCATTGCAAAATCTTAAGTGGCTGATTCAGTGGAAATAACCAATGCATAGAGAGTTACAGAAATAGCATGTAAATTAATTACGTTCAGCGATCAATTATTAACTTTCAATTAGTCTGGTATTAAATAAAAGCTTAATTGAGAAAGTCGATTGTGATCCGTGGACTTAGGGATCTAGGCATAGGAATGTTACCACGCCAGCGGAAGAACGTAACAACCACTTAAGTTACGAAATCAAAATTGGTAAATTGTGAGGTGTAAGTTTCCATTGCAAGTACGTCTTAATTTTTCGCGTACATACCTTTAGCAAGCAAGTTGGTAGAATCACAGTCACACATACCACGAAAATGACTAACTAGTAACGCCCGACCTTATATAAGTTCTGCAAGGAGCTATCGGAAATTCAATCACTATCGCTCAATCGGCACCATGAAAAAATGCGTATCACAAACAAGACTGCTGATAATACACTAATAGTTTTTAACCTTGTATCTGTGTACAATAAACTCCTCATTTATATTTCAGTAGCCAGAACTTTAGCCCCGTGAGAAAGACAATTGGCACGAAGGTGAATAACATCCCCTCAATTTCGTCAATAGTTTTCTCATCGAGATTAGAGCTGCACGACCATAACATAATCGCTAAAACTATGGAGATATTAGTGTATTTTTTACAGGTCATGCAAAGTCGCTTTATTTCCTATCATTGTTAGTGTTTGTGTATTATCATTCTGAATAAACAATTATGCGAGTTAGACGTTAGTTAGCAGGCCCATGCCAAAATGTGGATTGTATTCACGCAAAATCGTGCATTCAAATTAAGATCGATTTACCTTAGTAACTTTGGGGGTGATTGTCAGCGTTTTCCTTCTGCCCTTCGATATCCAGTGCGCTGTGTAATCCTCAATTTATTTCTTTGTTCATAATGTCGTAATCACGTCGGCTTTAGAGTTCACAGTTTTTGGTTCGTGTTCATATTCTTCAGTGCACTTCGGTCACTTGTCTCCAAATTTTGGTAAAAACACCAACTTGGAAATGAGTTTGCATACCCTCGTTTTGCGGTAGAGTGAAGAGCTTTCACATACAATGCAAAAACAGAGTCTCTTATTAAGAAAGCGAAAACGTACTCTAATTAAATGGAAACAGAAAGTAGAATACTATAACCGAAGCTTTTCGTTGTAACAGCAACAATTACGTTGATGAAGACGGTCTGAAGATTACATTATGTGAGAGAGTTGAAATAGCGAGGAAAAGTCGAGTATCATGTGTGACCTGTAGTGAAAAAATGGAATTGAGCCACTTTTTACTATTACTATATACATCTCGTACAAACTTTCCATTTTTCGCATCCTGCATCCCCTCCTCTCGATAGATGAGTTGATAGAAAACAATTCCATTGGTCTATGCATTTCCTGTCATGAATGTATATTGTCTGAAAGTCTTTCTACTCCTCTCACATACCAAAATTCTCAAAACTAGATCGTGAAAACTCCATTTTTAGTTGTAGCTAATTGAAACGATACATTTTGTCCTTTCTCATATAGACGGTATATTGAGCATTCAAACAAACTTTGCGGCAGCTGCATCCTCCAGAACACTACATCCAGCAGGTTTTTTAAATAATGGTTCAAAAACTTTGCGTTTGTCTTTGTTAGACGCTCCGTATCTTTTTTAAGGTAGAATATCTACGATACTCTGAGCGCAGAAGCAACTCGATTGACTAATGCTTTCAAAAGGTGCAGATTCTTAGCTTAATGCTTAGTGCACCTTTCGAACTTGTGGCCAAATGAGTCCAATTGCAATATCCAATAGAAAAGGGAATGAGGGGTTTGGAATGAAATATATCACTGACATGGTGCATTGGTCTATAGTATAACTTGATTAATTTGAAAATGCGACCCCATTTGCTGTTTCGATTATTATCATTTTTACCATTGTCCCACAGTGCTGTCCTTGTCGACTCTGTAAGTTACAAAACCAAGTACTTGGAAACTCCTCGACTTACTTTATGTTTTATAATGTTGTACCGCACCTTTAATTACCTTTATACTCGTATTTTACAGCAAAGGAAACATTCCATTCGTTTTTTTTCAAGATCATGCCCTATACCATAGAAAATGGAATGAAAGGTTTGGAATGAAATATCACTGACATGGTGACTCCAGTAATTATTAGCTATTTAACCCTCTTCATATTTATATTAATGATTTTTTCAAAAATTCCCAATTGAGAGTAAAATAACATACCTTTCTCTGTTTAGATTAATGGAATGGCATCTGAAGCAACGGAGAAATGAAACCAAGACACCCAGAATATGGGTGAGCCTTTTGTTTATGTGATTTTTTAAAAAATTCCCAATTGAGAGTAAAATAACGTATCTTTCTGTTTAGATTAATGGAATGGCATCTGAAGCCCAGTGAACGAGAATATCGGCGAGCCTTTTGTTTAATTGATTTTTTTTTCAAAAATTCCCAATTGAGAGTAAAATAACATACCTTCCTCTGTTTAGATTAATGATATGGCATCTGAAGCAACTGAGAAATGGAAACAAGTCAACCAGAATATGGGCGAGCCTTTTGTATAAGTGATTTTTTTCAAAAATTCCCAAATGACAGTAAAATAACGTACCTTTCTCTGTTTAGATTAATGGAATGGCATCTGAAGCAACAGAGAAATGGAACCAAGTCAACCAGAATATGGGCGAGCCTTTTGTATAAGTGATTTTTTTCAAAAATTCCCAATTGAGTATAAAATAACACACTCTTTCCAGATTAGATTAATGGAATGGCATATGAAGCAATCTAGACATGGAACCAAGTCAACGAGAATATGGGCGAGCCTTTTATATAAGTGATTTTTCCAAACATTCCCAATTGAGAGTAAAATAACATACCTTTCTCTGTTTAGATTAATGATATGGCATCTGAAGCAACTGAAAATTGGAAACAACTCAACCAGAATATGGGCGAGCCTTTTATATAAGTGATTTTTTTCAAAAATTCCTATTTGAGAGTAAAATAACATACCTTTCTCTGTTTAGATTAATGATATGGCATCTGAAGCAACTGAAAAATGGAAACAACTCAACCAGAATATGGGCGAGCCTTTTATATAAGTGATTTTTTTCAAAAATTCCTATTTGAGAGTAAAATAACATACCTTTCTCTGTTTAGATTAATGATATGGCATCTGAAGCAACTGAAAAATGGAAACAACTCAACCAGAATATGGGCGAGCCTTTTATATAAGTGATTTTTTTCAAAAATTCCTATTTGAGAGTAAAATAACATACCTTTCTCTGTTTAGATTAATGATATGGCATCTGAAGCAACTGAAAAATGGAAACCACTCAACCAGAATATGAGCGAGCCTTTTGTATAAGTGATTATTTTCAAAAATTCCCAATTGAGAGTAAAATAACATACCTTTTTTCTCTGTTTAGATTAACGGAATGGCAGCGAAGAACTGCAACCAAGTGACGAATATTAGTGAGTGAGAATTAATGATTTTTTGTCAAAAATTGATTTTCCATTGTAAGTAATGCAAATTTTCCCTTTTAGATGAGTGGTACCTATCGTATAAGGAGCAATCGAACAACCCACCCAAGTGGACGAGTGTGTAGGTGAGTTGCATTAGTGATTTTTTTAATTTTCTGAAATAAATTTAACACATGTAGCTTTTAAACGTTATTAATAAAATAATCAGAGATAAACATCCGACGAACCGAGAAAGATCTTCGGATCTTTCCCCTTTCCTCTAATTTACGACCGGTGATAACAGAATGTGACCTAACGTTTCCAATTTGCTTCTAAGGTCAATCTGCGGAACATTTAATTCGAAAACCACTGTAATAGTCGTAATGTACAACTTCCCGAATTAATCCGTAATTCAGCGCAACTAAAAATAACTCCACTTGGACGTTATTCTTATTATTTTTGAGTAGGTATGCGCTCTAATCAAATTATCTAATAGTTCATTACTATATCAATTGAAGAGATTCAGCAAATAATTAATGTAATGAAATACTTTTTATTGATAAGAGTTTATCTAGTAAAAAAGCGTATCTTACTTGCAACAATTAGAGTTAGAATTACGTAGGGCATTAATGATAATAACCTAAGAATAGTACATTATAGTAATGGGCGTTGCCCGTCTCCGCGGCATATACTAGAAAAAAGCACAAGTTCCTCCATCCACTGCCATGGTAATTTTTAAAGTGCAGTTTAACATATGCACTCCTTTGGTTGCATCAATTGAGTCTCGTATCTTTACGAGTGTCATACTTTTTAATTGAAATGAAATATCTACCGGTATTTTCATTATTCTTTCGTTTGAAAATTTCGCTTTTCATCTGAAACTCGGGTTTACGAAGATTTGTAGACCCCCTCGAACGAAATTTGTGTGGCATGTCATGTCAGGATGTTCTTTGACATGAAAATAACGAATAAAAATTTCAGTTTTGAAATTTTGAAACAAAATTCATTACATTTCTGGTTTCTACACGCAACTCAGGTTCCAACTTTGTAATGCTTACCTGTTGCACTTTATTTAACTCACCTCCTCCAGAAGGAAATATAATGCAATGCAGCGGGAAACACAAAACAGACTACGAACGTTCTTAGGTAGTAATTTCTCTTAAAACATGATTTCCCGATTTTCATTTTTCTTGGAGCGATTATTGAGAGGTGAGCTTTCGTTGGCGAGTTTTACCGCCAGACGAGCACTGTACGAGAATTTTCTTGCCACTTTCACATGTTAACTATGCGAAATCTATTTCTGGGTAATTATTACTGATCAAATGTATCACCACTCATAAATTTAAATATCGGGTGCCTAGTTGTTTTACTTTCGAAGCAAAGTGATTGTCGTGGAGATCTGCGTATTCGTCAATTCGTGATCAATTTGTGGCCCTAGGTGGGCCAACTTTATATGGAACACTTTTTTACATAATTTTTTTAGTTTTGTTGCGATGTTGTGTGGATGGATTAAATTGAAATTTAAAAGGCGAACTGAAAAGCTTAAGGGAGATCTAAAAAAGAATCATTTTATAAAAACTTACTTGTTGCAGAAGTTACCCGGTATAATATTTAAATTCAAAATTGGTAAAAACCATTACAACCTCAAAATCATTTTAAAATTGTTAAACGTTTGGAGAACAATGAAAAATATCGTGAAAGGGCGTATATATTATTTTTATGAAATTGAAAATACTTGTTACGCCACCTTCCAATAAACTAGCGTCGATAACTCATTTGCAAGAATACGCTGCAGTTTTTTTTCGAACTAGTAAGTAATAATAAATGAACAGGATAGGGAACTCAGAAACCGTACAAGTTACAAATCCGATTTAAAGGCAAAAAAGTGTTAGAACTAAGGGGTTAATAAAATGGCAATTAGAAACTTATGCTTACTTCTCGAGATATTCAAAAAAATACGAAACATCGTGATTTCGTTATTATTTTCTTTGAAATTACTTCAAGAGAAATAAAGAAATAGGATTAGGTTTCGCAAAATTAAGATAAAATACGGATTTCTAACTTTTACGGTATCCCAAATCCTCCTGCTGGTCATTTCTTGGACCCCTGGTATACATCTTTTCAAAATGGCTTTTATTTTCTCGCTACAAATTTTTAATACGATTTTAAGGGTAGTCTTCCCGGATACTTATTACTGCGTTTTACTTATTTTTAAATTTAAATATTAACCGGGTATGGTTTTGCCACTACCATAAAACCAAGACATTATAAAAATGACCCTTACGTAGATCTCCCTTAATTTTTTCCGTTAGTCTTTTACATGTTAACGTTATACTACCTATATAGGTTTTAAATTTGATGAAAATCTGACCAAACCCAGTAAAAGGGTTTCAAACAAATTTGGCCCATCGATATCGAGAAGCTATATGATCATGGTGCAAAATTTAAGAGAAATTGCCGAAATTGGGATAAAAGTGGGTACAATTATGAGGAGAGGAAGGGTAAATCTTTGGTGCATTAAAAATCAATGTAGATGTAGCCGTATGTTATTACAATCAAACGATATATGGGAGGCGGATTATCGTAATCGCAAAATATATATGCTTTTAAATCCGTTTAAATGGCAACAATGAATATCGCTTAAACGTGTATTTATTACTATTTACTAATTCCTATTCAAATCAAGGTTATATATTGATGCATTTTTGCTGACTTTGGAGAAATGCACTTGCTCCACTTTTCTACCAAGATTGCGCCCTATTAAAGTGTAACCCTGGCGAAACCTGAATAATTTTGCAGCTCGTATCTTGAGGCGGTTCATAGCAAAAACTGCATGGGTGAAGTTCAATCATAAAACGATTAAAAACGCATTAATCAGTACAAGAGATTTGTATGCAAGCTTCAATTAATTGGCCAATTAGCATTTGCATCAATACTCACGTAAAGGCAGTGGGTACTCCAAAAAGTGTGACACGCACTTATTGCCAATAAAACGCACTGAAAAATCCAAGCACGTTGTTCACCGCGTTCGATTTAGTAATGATGTGATACGCACTTGCTGATATAAATCAGCTGTACTCGTAGAAGAGTTGCTTTTAATTTCGAACCGGTCTTAAATTTACTTGTCACCCTGTAGTGACAAGCAAACGTCGACGGATAGTGCTCTTATTATCAAAGGAAGTCTGATAATGAACGGCGGAAGTCGACCTTCTGTGCCATAATTCGAGCTTCCCAATTACGATTTTAATGGAAATCTGGGTAAGAAATTATGCACTTGAAAGTCGGGACTGTTATTTTCCATTCAAAAAACTGGTAGTTGCTGTAAAGGTATGGGAGAAACTTAAACAAGTAGCACGTGTAATTAAAAATGATTAAAGGCTCATTTTATCTGTAACTTTTTGATCTAGTATGAGAGATGGGAAATGTCAGCAGTCTTCTGCAGTGAAAAGTAATTGAGGGACGGGCAGACGGACAGTAGCTACTTTTGTCATTCGGGAAATTGAAAACTGATCTCAACTCCTGTGTGGATTTTGATTTATTCACCTCCGGTGCTGAATATAATCACTATTGCTAAACGCTACAGAAATTTCATTATTTCACCCCCTGACGGCACTAGAGGGACCAAAAATGAATCCTTATAGTTAAGGCCTTAAATACATTTGGGTTTTTGTGTTGTTCAATCAATTAATCGTACCCCGTTCAATACAAATATGCAAATACGTAATGAACTACTTAGATAAAATAAACAGGCAGCCACGTGGTCAGGTAATAACTAATAACAATTGCGCCATTCGCGGTAATTAGCGGCGCAATTAGAAGTCGCATTTGATGTTATTACAACATCGATAAAATTGCGTGCATACCAAAACGCAAATCAGGTAATCGTCACTCGCTCTTCAAGTGACATTTGAGAGATTTATCAATTAAGTAAATAGGATAATATTTATGTAAATAAAATAATATCGCTAATGATATGGAAAGTGGGAAGTATTTTGTTACTGTTAGTACCGTAGCATCGAAATTAAGGGCATGGAAATAATTGTCCTTGTCGTCAACTGATAAACTACGTCGCAATATTTGACTAATTGATTAGTCAATCTGACTAATTGATTAGTCAATCTTCGTAGGGGTTTATAGGACTTTCATACCTCATTCGGAGCTTACTAGACCGCGAGAGCTCTTCCCGAGTCCCCTTTTCAGACCACTGTCTAGCAGTCTTGTAGGACCTCCAGGTCCGGCCTTAGTGTCTTTCGCCAAAATATGAAAATAAACTCATGCAGTTTTTAGACAACATGCTTTCAAAAAAATTATCGGTAATTTTGATGCACTTGTGCAGATAATTGCTCGTGTGGTAAATTCAGCGATTATTCAATGACATTTATCAAACTTCAACCAGTGAAATGTCGCAAAATTTTTTCGTATTAACCGGAACATTCTTCTTAGTTTGCTAATCAATTTCGACAACCGACTTATCACCACATCTTTTAATTTGATCACTCGTAACGAATTAGCTTGAAGCACAAAAGTTCCAATAGAATCAATAGCAAAATCAAAAGCAACTTCTGTTGTATTTTGACGTTTCTTATCGTCATGGAAATAATGGCATGAGCTTCGGGGTTAAAATGTACATTACGCTTACTTTTTCTTTTGATTCATTGAATAGTCATTCGAATACCATTCGTAGTCGAAGTATTTGTAGATTATTTTTGAGGTGCTGCTCCACTCATACTATAATAGTAACTAGCATTCGTCCAGCACCTCAAAAATATTTGACAATACTTCGACCACTGATGGTATTATATATCATAATCCGTATTTTGGCTACGTGTGCAAAACGGACACGTTAGAAATTATTTACTTTAAATCTATTTCTTTTTTAACGGTGACTACCGGAATTCGCGTTGTTATATTTTACGTTCCAAACCCAAATACTGATAGTGACGGTTGTCTAAAAATCTAATCTGATTCAAACTTTATTAAGGGTTCCGAACTAGTGAAGTATAAATTTTCACAGTTGCATAGCAACTACACGCACATATCCAAACCTGTATTTCTCGTGCAGGTTTTAAAAACCTGTGGATTAAAAAAATAATAGCATACATTAAATTCGTTATTCCTACACATGAAGTGCTTCACAACCCCTCAGAGTCTGACACCAAAGGTGGCAGAGGAAGTAAAAAACCTCTGGGTTTCCACCTCCCTGAGTACTCAATAAATTTTCCCTTATAACTTTGAACAAGACATGTCGAGTTCCATATTACCTACTCAAAACTCCTGTATCGGCAATTCGACCTTTTACCAGATAATCCTGGAATCAGGATTCAATGATACTCCTTAATATCAAATGTATCCATATGGTAGGCAAAAAAAGAACTGAAAGAGCCGCAAGAAAGCGGCTCCTTTGGATGGTCACGTATGATATTAAGTTTCAACATTAGGGTGACTAGCCGAGGCGAGATTTTATGTATAAAAAGTGATACGAAAGTAGTAAATTGGCCTAGGGATTGCTAAATTTGTACAAGCGTTCGAAATCACTATAAAATATTAACTAACAATTATAAAAAATGAAAGATGTGTGAAACTTACCTATTCTTAATTACCACCAATAATAGGACGGAAAAAAAGGTGCATTTTGATAAATATGTCGTAGTCTTTTAGTGAAATCCGCCGTTTCACGAAACGCCTAGTAATTTTGTGAAACTGTGGCACGGTGCACTTTCTAGGGCTAATCGATTGCGTTCACTTCCCCTTCGAGATCGTTTAATGGTATCCCTTATCGATCTAGAGGGAGAAGGGAAACTACCCCACACGTTAAATTGTCAGCGTTTCACTTTCTTGAAATGACGGATTTCACTAAAAGACTAGAACATATTATATGCTGAGAGTTCACAGTTCACAGTACCTAATAATTTCACAGAATCACTTTCAGTAACTTGATTTGTGGAACAAATTTTTGTTTCGTTTAAAGTCAAGTGCAGGTATGAGTAAAATCGTTTAACCCCCAGTGCCATACCTTTCAAGCTCTTCCAGCAAAATCTGTGTCAAATGCGTGTTATTTTTTATTTTCGAAAGCGCAATGTTATTTGACTATTATAATTTTAATGTAAGGATGCCTAAGATAATCCTTCCATTAAACTAGCTATCTAAAGGGGCTTGCTATTGCAATTTTCGATTTTCTTTTATAGTTACAAATTATAATTGGCGATTCGTTTTGAAATGGAAACCTTATAATAGGTACAGATTGCTAATGCATTCATTTATATCAAAGTTTTACAAGTGGTTCTCTTTACAGGATCGTATTTATGTAAAATTTGCTAAAATTAGCGATTCAAAAATGAATTGGCAATGAAACTTCGGTTCCCTACGATAAATTTTGATTAAATGCGTAGAACGACATTTATTAGATGTTCATGTATCCAACAATAACATAATTTGTGATTCTGTCTACTTCATTTAAACGAAGACATTAGACATATCATTTGAAGTTAGCTAACTTGGGGAACACATGCTCCAAAATTCTCAAAAAAAAACACGTGCAAAATTACAAAAACAAATATAGCGTACTTACGTTTAATGCTCTTTCGCAAGATTACTGCACATCAAATACAAACGTAACTAGTGCCTAAGATATAAATAAGTTGCATTTGGACACATGCATTGATTATGGCACGTCTAGGTATCCTTAAAAACCAAAAGCACGTGTACTTTTTTTAAGCCTAACCTATACGAATAACGCCTTTTTATGTAACTTAACTATCAACGTTTTTGGACGGTTGCCAGACTAAAACTATTTTAATCCGTTTCTATATTGCCACCGAAAGAAATTACATTCGTCTGTTTAGACAGTAGCAGATGGAATTTTTTTCAGACGGTTCACATATGGTACGACACGTTTATTCCACCATCTATTATTCAAAAGTGGAATTACCGCCTCTTCCTTTTATTAATTTTTAGTTCTAATCCGTGAATAAGGATGAAAGAGGAAGCAGTAGAAGTAACATCTCTCCTGAGCCAGTTTCTTCTTCTTTATCAATCTTGAGCCGTTTTTTTATGAAACAGTTACTCTTCCTTGACCTGCACGATTGAGTGTCTTCATTGGCTTGAAGAATCTGATTCTCTTTTTGCTTGTCAGAAAGGCTGTAATGTCGTTGTTCAATATGTTTACCCATGGCTTTCACACGTTCATTTCGTCTTGGAAAAGTTAATGACTTTGACATCGGATTAAACTCATTGAAGGTTTGATTCCGGCTCAAAGGCTTAAATCCAGATTTCCTCGCCAGTAGTGATATCCTAGAGACATTTGAGCTACTACTTCCGTATTTTGGTCAAGTTTTTTCTTCGCACCAATCAACGCGCTGTTGTTTTTACTACTCCGCCAAATTGGGGTGAGTGACTGCATTGGGGTACAAAATGACCCCCCCCCCCACTTTTTTGACGTAAATGCACGTTTTGAAGCACCAGGAATCCGAATTAAACAAACTCTCGGTGATGTTTCTCGGTCTCTCTGTCTGTACTCTCATTTCCGGGCTGAACCGATTGGAACCAAATTTGGTACACATATTTTTAGGACATAAAAGGAACTAAAAAGCTTTTGGGCAGAATCGTGCATGCGCAAGTGTGTCAAAGTAATAAAAAACTGCACATTTTTAACGTTGTTGCACCTTATAAAAACACTTTACTAAGAACTGAAATACATTTAGTCAACATTGTGCTGGCCACAACAATTTTCTTTAGATTTCATGCCAACACAGGTATCTTAATACAATTGGTTTTTTTTTTGTAATACTGGTAGCGCTCCTGCCTCGTGTGCTTCCATCAAGAGGCTGCCACTGGGTAATTTTAAACTTTAATTGTGCTAGTTCATTTGCCTAAAATACGATATAAATTCATTCGGCTCTAAATAATGCTTGCAACTCTGCAAAAGATTTGCCGCTGGTTTCGGGCACGTAATAATAAACAAAAACGCCAGTTATAAGATTTATAATTGAAGAAAGGTAAAAGGTAATATCAATACCCATAGCAGATTTCAGATCAAAGTAATATCGTGAAACCAGGAAAACCGATGTTAAATTAAAAGTTGCTCCACAA